GTCTCCTTCCCCTACTAATACCAGTTTTGGGTGAGGTAGCATCGGCATCTTGTTGTATCATGTCTATTACTTTGAGATCACTGTGGGGTTTTTCTTCATTTGTATATTCCTTGCTTGTTCAGAAACACATAGAAGCATCCATATGGTCTCCCATCATTCTTCAATCTGCTTATTCTGCCATCGAACCTGCTACTTTTCTGAAGTTTTTATTTTTTATGGCTTGAAACAAGTAACCTTATCAGTTCTGGCAAAGACACACAATCTTTTGGCCTGGTGAATTTTTTAAAAGCTCAGCCTTTGAATGTAGTTATTCTTCCCAATGTCATTTATTTATTTACTTTCTGGAATGCTTTCTGCAGGAGGGGAATCCTGAAATATTTTATGCATTTGGGCTGCATCCAGACTGCCTGTTTTCACAACTGATGCTGTGATTGCACAGCACAAATGCATAATGATTAACCCCGTTTGCTTCCCTTTGACAGTTGTCATTCTGTACAGCTAGATTCAAGTTATGACCGCAATTTCTGTTGCTAAGTGATTCTGTTGTTAAATGAATCATAGCCAATTTTTACAACCTTTTTTGCCATGTTGTTAAGAGACACGGTGCAATTTTTAAGTGAAACACGTGGTCGTTAAGGCTGAGGTTTTAAAAAATTCACCAGGCCAAAAGATCGTGTGTCTTTTCGAGAACTGATAAGGTTACTCTTTTCAAGCAATGAAAAATTGATTTTGATTGTCAGAAGCTGGATGGGAAAGTAACAAATGGGGGTCATGTGATCCCAGGACGCTGCAACCAGGCTGCAACCTCATCACTTTTTCTCTCTGCGGTGAACTGTGCAGGTATTGTTCTGGAGGGGACAGCTCCCAATTCCTAACTGACTATCCCAATTCCCAATTAACTATAAACTGTCTGGACAGCACAGGAAGAATGCAATAAATGGATGCAACGTCCAAGAAAAAAAAGAGAAAAGAGAGAGGAAGGGAGGAAAGGAGGGAGGGAGAGAGAGAGAGAGAGATGATATTAACCATGCACACCAAAGGGTGTGCTGAGAGTTTTAATCAGAAAGTCAGCTCTTTGAGGATTAAAAATAGAAAATCCAGAGATAAATATACATTCCGAGGGTGTGAATGCAGATTCTGCTTGGGCATATGGCTATTAATCACGAGCTCTTTTTCCTCTACATCACCGAATATTATATCAGTTTTCTAAGGAAAGGTGAGGAGTTAAACGTGTTATACTTTCAGAACATGCTCCAGTTAATAATAAGAGCCATCCAAGCAGAGGGTTTTTTGGGGGGGTAAGTCAAAGCCTTCATTGAATTATTGCACTTGATTGTGGTTGCACATCTCTTATTTTCGAGTCATATTTTGTGTTTTCCATTGGCTGACATCAGCCAGAAAGTTTATGTGATTTTAAAGGCAATTTATGTGATAAAGAAAGTTTATGTGATTTTAAAGGCAATTTGACTGTGCATTTGAAATTAAGGCGAACAAACATTGCAAGAGAAAGAAACGTAACTGCAAAAGTGTTATCATTTCCTAAATACTAGGAGCTCAAAAAATAACCACCCCCTGTCAAAGGAGATTGATTTTTTTTTCTTTGTGAGAATTCCCCACAATTCATTTTTTGGAACAGGAGGCACTTGTAACTTTCTTCACAACCCCTTCTGGTCTCTCTGACTCTCAGTAATGTTGAATGTATACAAGTTTCACTCTCCTGGAAAAAAAAAAACTTGGGCCGCCCACTTTTTCATGAGCTGTGAAAATAAGAGAGAATGAAAGCCGAGAAGGCGTGATAATACAACCCCCCTTCAACAACAGAATATAACAGAATATAACAGAAGTTTAGTTTTTGCCATTGTGACATGTATAGTCCCTTGTTTGTGAGAATTGACTGCATGTCTGGATCATGCAATCATCCTTATGCCAGTTTCTAGGGGAAGCCAATCCATCGAAGGACAGAGATGTTGGGAAGTCATCATAGGGCCTGTTGCTCTTAGCTCCCCGAGGAAACGATGCTGGAAGAAAGGTGTGTTTGCGTACAAATCCCTGATAACAAAGAGTTGCAGGTGTATCCCTAGCCAGACATGTAGCCATGTAGGGAGTTCCCCCTCTTAAGAGCTCAAGCCAGAAGTTCTGTGGGCCAAACCTTCTGAAGCTGTTCGGGCAAAGTTCTCTGAAGTGGGTATTTCCCATTGTGATCTCTGGGGCAGAGCTTGCCAGGAGCTTTTTAAGTCAACTCCCAGGAAAATAGGTCTAGAATACCCATGCACGCCTTTAACTCAAGACCAAGCAAAGCTAAGTCGGAGAATTTCATAGCTTCTTCTCCCGGTTGTGTCCTCACGCGGGTAAAATTGTGTGTTATATTAGTGTGGAGCTAGACTGAAACTTAAGGCTCAGAAGTGATGTGGGATTACTCTTCCACTGAAGCAAGTAGATAGAAGCTAACTTGGTCAGATTTTCATGGTCGAGCTTTTAATATGAAGTAATTGTCTGCTGGGAGAATTGTCTACGAGCTTCAGAAATCACGGAAATGGTAACTGAGGGATGACCTATTGTTCGATATGTAACCTGCCAGAGAAAGGAAATATTTATTGTTAAGATGTTTAATTGAATAGCTGGAATAGTGAAGTGCATAACGAGTCAGAACACGCAATTAAAGCTGATTGGTTGGTGAGAGCAAGCTCCTGCATGAGGCAATCTAAGCTGTGATTGGTTGTTGTGGGTATAAAGGGGGAGTTTCCTTGTTTCCCGCCTTTTTACCTCTGTGCACCGTGATTTACCTCATGATGTTCCTGCTGTGTTGATTTACCTGACGATGCTCCCATTTGCCTGTCTTATTTACTCTAAATATATTTATTTATATAAAACAACAAGTTCATGTAAGCATTTCTGACTTCTTTTAGTCACTGGCTGCGCTATTCCCTGATACTTATTCTGTATTGCTTGACGACAACATGGACTTGAATAAATTCTTTATTCTTGATGGCAAGTCAGGAAGTATCATTCATTTTCTCCAGCGAATGTCCTGGGTTGTTGCTTTCCTGTATAGTTGCACAATGTGATTATGTCTGGATCTTTAAAAAAAAAGAAAAAAACCCCTACCACGTGACAAGGTGTTTAAGCTTTATGTAAACTCCAACAGTTGTGTCAATAAAATCACCATACTCCTGTTGAAACCTCTCTTGAAAACATCTCTCCTTGGCAGCTGCCAGCGAGGAAAGAGAGGTTCAACACACTGTATCTTTTTCTGACATGCTTGACCTTGGATCTCATCCAAGTTCTCTTGGCAGACGGTCAACTCAAGTCAACAGCTGTTCTCGTGCTCCGCATAGGCTGGGTTATCTTGCATTTGGTGTGGTTGAATCACCACTCCCATCTGGTTCTCTATTGTCAATTTGCTTTGCAACTGCCTTGTTCAAACTCCTCCACTGATAACAACGTTGTCATATGAAGAGTCATAAGCCACCCTTTCACCTGCCTTCATTGTTTTTTAAGTGTAGCGGAGTGTTCATCGCAACAACTCTATCTGCAGACTGAAATGGCATGTCCCAAATATAAGCTTACTAGATAACGTTAGTCCCAGTTGTGTCCATGTGACTTGTAGGGTTATTTTCTTCTGCTGTTGAGTGTACTTTGGTTCCTAAACATTCCTTGATATTTGTGTGAGTTCTGTAATAAATGAGCCTTCCATGACTTAAAAGTTTCCTAAATGTTTGGGATGCTACTTTTAGAAGTAGGAGTTTTAGACCTATAGTCTAGCACCCCATCAGGCTGGAGAACATTGTTAAGTCTTCCACAGAAGTCACTGAAAATCATATTCAGCAGCATTTCTCTGTGGACTTTTCTGTGAAGTCAGGCTAAGGCAAAGATATTACTCCAACAAATGCTAAAATTAATTATCGATCAAAACCCTTAATTTTACTTGATTCTTCTTGACTAGTTCAGTAATGTTTAACTGTTCAGTATCTCAAAAGTCATGGCAAATAAAGGTAAGATGTAATTAAAACTCTACAGTTGATTGATTTGTAGAACATTCATTCATATGTTAGAAAATATATTTGATGAGACACAGCAAATAGTAAGAGAAAAATAGCACTTAAAGTTACTTGAGCAATACTTTTTCCTTATCTCTGATAAGTGAAAAAAATGTGATTATACACCACCAATAACACAGGATTTTCTCAACTCTGCAATTATACCTGTTACTTAATTTTGAAACTGATTGTCTGTGTAGGAAAACAAATTGTAACAGTAAAAGGTTCAGACACCCATCAAATATTTCCAAAAGTATTTCTGTTTAAATTTTTTTAAAACATTACTGTACTGTACAATACCGTGGATTGGATTTTCCCCTGATCTTAAATAGAGGTGAATCTTCACTGGTTTCTTTCTGCTCTTTCAAAAGGCTAAAGGTGAACCCTCCCAATTTTATATTTGCACATTAATTTTCACTGACCCAATTTCAGAGCATTGCAGTCTTGTAGCTAAAGTGCTTGACTTGGGCCAGGAAAAGGTCTTGCGGGGAAGGGGGCTCTATATCATGCGGAGGCATGATGGATTATTTTTTGAATCACCAGTTTGGGGCTTACTCAGAATCTTGTGCTAATGAAGACTCTTGATTTGTTTTCTCTGGTAATATGCAGCTGTTTTGTTTTGTAACTTCCAAACTTTGCCTTTTGATTTTGCCTCGGAGGCATATTCCTGAGGACTGGTATAAACATGACTGAAACTTCAAGCGTCGAGCAGCTTGCAGGCTGAGACTTCTGCTGTCCGGCCAGTAACCTGTACTCAGTCCTGTTTTCTCTTCTCTAAGCAAGCTTGTGTTTATAGAAAACTGAATGAAGGGATGGGGCTGCCTGATTTATGAACTGGGTGAGGTTTTTAAGTCAGCCTCAGTAAGAAGCAACTCCCATCCTGGTCTTCGAAAAGTTGAAGAGGCAGCTAGCCAAGTGAGAAGCTTGTCCGAGGTGGTAACCAGTGTTCTGGTCTCCTTGCAGCCCCCAGTAGATGGATATTGACATGGACTACGAAAGACCAAATGTTGAAACCATCAAATGTGTGGTTGTCGGGGATAACGCAGTAGGCAAAACTCGCCTGATCTGTGCAAGAGCCTGCAACACCACCCTGAACCAGTACCAGCTGCTGGCAACCCACGTCCCAACGGTCTGGGCAATTGATCAGTATAGAGTCTGCCAAGAGGTAGGTATGGCTTTGACATGGAAATGTGTTTAATTCTGAGCCTCCATCTAGAAGGGATGATGGGAAAGTGGGCTGGATGGAAGGAATTCCAGAGCGAGGAGTACAGCAGATTAGAGCAGGCCAGAGGAGGACTCTTCCATCCACTGTACTTAGAGAATATATGTGGAAATACTTCAAGTATTTTCCTGTTGCCTTTGCATGCTTATGTCATTGCTACTTGGTGGAAGGTGCATCGTATCCTTGCATACCTGTGCTTCTGAAGTTTCAGACCTTATGGCCAACATATCCTCCCTTTTCCATCTTTTTAGCTGACCACCTTTGCAGTTAACTGTCCAAAGAAATTCCACCCCAATTGTTGCAAAAATTGTTAGTAAAGAAGGCATTCCAGCTCATGTGTATAGGGTTGCATTTTCTGTGCAACTGTTCCAGTGCAACAATTCTACCCTAGCTGATTTTCGTAACTATTGGTCTTCTTCATAAACTCCATGCTGGGTCTTAAATCTGCCAGCTGTCCATTCTACTCTTTGCATATTATCGTCATGCCAGACTTCAATGATGCATTTTCCTTTTGTGTCCCACCTGAATATATTAAAATGTTGCATCATTATTGTTGCTTATTTCACTAATCACTTGCTGCACTGATTTCATTGGAGGCTTAGTTAGATTGTCTAGGCTTAAATCTTTTGTTAAGAAATTGTGTTATGTACAAAGGCATGAAATCTGTCAGCTTAGTCCCAGATTAAACCATGCCTGCTGCTGACAACAGTTTAGATTGCATCCAAAAGCCAAGGTTTAATTTTGCATATCTGCGTCCTCTAAGCTTTATAAATTCTTCTGCATAACACAGTAACCTCGGGAAGGCTGATGGCCAAGCGTTCAGGTGTTGTACCAGATTATAATTAGCACAATATTTACTTCAAATCATACTTGCTGGGTTTTGGCAATAATGATTTCTTGCTCTGGGGCTCCTGTCCAATCAAAATTTGGTGGGTTATCTGAATTGAACATCTGATGGTCTCCAACCAGAAGTTGGCATCTTCTCACTGCAACCCAGAAGTTGATATTTTCTATCATCCCTGACTATAACTTTGCTGGCCTCAAATTTTTGGGAACTAGGTCCCTGATATCTGCTCAGGCCCCTCACCTCCCACCCCGCTCCAAGCTCTGACTGCTTTCACCACAAACCTTTGTCTCTGTTCCAGGTTCTTGAACGGTCCCGTGATGTAGTTGACGAAGTGAGTGTTTCTCTCAGGCTCTGGGACACGTTTGGAGACCACCACAAAGACCGACGTTTTGCTTATGGAAGGTCAGTCTAAGTTAGATGCCCCTTTTGTGGCAAGAAAGTGAATAGGAGAATAATTACATCTTTAACGGGTTAACATTTGGAATAATGAATCTGAACAAAATACTATATATTTCATAGATCATCTACAAACAATGTGAAGAAGAAACAGCGCTATTAAATGAATAATTAAATTAACTGTTAAATAATTAAATTAATGATTACCTTTACTAGTTTTATTTGCTCGGCTGATCATAAAGAAGAATTACTGCTGAATTGGGAGAGTTTTGAAGACTGCAATCTTCAAAATTTGCAGAGGGTGAAATTTTGCCTGTCGTTTTTAGAACAGTGGGATCAGACTAATGAGGAAGGTCCAGCTCCTTTATTAACTAAATTCCATGTTGGTACAAGTGGAGAATATTTGGTTATCCTAAAAATGCATTCGATGATGCAGTCTTTTTAGGACCGGAAGTCAATGCTATCTTAAAATTCCTGCAAACCATTTGAGATTTATTGAAACTGCTTCAGACTGACTGTTTTGGTTCCTTTTTAATTTAAAAGTTACCCAAAGGAGCAGACTTTGTGGATGAGTATGAAACACCTTTTATGTCATAATTGCATACATGTCAAATACATTAACATCAATCCTGGCAACAGAAATTGAGATCCAGAAATACTTTTTGCACAGGAATCAAAAGTGATTTGTTATACGCCACAGAAGAGGAGGAAGCACAAAGGCCGCTCAGATCAGCCTCATAGGCCTTTGTGTCCAAGGAGGCGTTCCAGCTGCTGAAGCTCAATTTACATTAATCCTTTTGATTTAATATTGATTACATTGTTCTAGATGGCGCTATAATCTGCAGAAGGTTAAAGAGGCTTCCCCAACTCAGTGCCGCTGGACTTGCGCTCTATAACTCCCAAGCAATAGGGCTAATTGCTGTGCCAATGTGAAGTTGAAGTCTGACAGATCTATACAGCATCAGGGAGAGAATCGAGTAGGGGTGGAAATTGGGAGCATTTGTGGATTTCCTTCCAGAAGCAACTGAAATCCACTGAATTCAGAGTGTGCATCAGTAACTCGTTTCCGGCTTTCTATTTCCAAAAATGGTTTTGGGAGAAGCCCCAAAATGAGATGCCTCTGCAAGGAATTATCTGGAGTGATGCACCAGTCCTTGAGAACCCTACAACCAGGATGGAAACATGAAGGGGGGCGGGCTTCTTGATGCAGAAAGACATGGAAGCCTCCAGCTGCTTCTAGCTGATCACTTGGTGTCTCCTGGGAAGAATAGCCAAGGTCATAAAAGACATGAAAGGGCTCAGGAATGCTGACCATTGGCTTTCTCTTGCTGACCTCGTAGTTCCCCCTTCTGGGGAATAAGTCATTTAACAGCCAGGTTTAACAGCCTTCCCAGCCTTGGTTAACAAATACAGTTAAACATTTAAACAACATTTAAATGTCTTTCCTAAAAGTTGCAAAATAAATGGCAGGGGCATTGCCCCTTTGCCAAATGTCTGCATGCTTAAAATTCAGTTCTTATTGATTTGTCAGGTTTATTTGAATCCTTGCTTCTCCTCCTGGGGGCGCCTTCTGCTATACAACCCAACATTTTGTCATTAAGCAGTTGGGTTGTGATGTGAGGACAGAGCCAGGAGTGTCCCAGCATTTGCTGAAACAAACGGCTGGGAGATGACTTATTTCCATCTCCCTGTGATGTCTCTGCACAAGATCTTTGGAGATAATTACTTGAGTAGAACTGCTGAACTCTTCAACTCTCAGCTTATTGAAATCTGGATTATTTTAGGGTCAGAAGAATTGGCTCAAAGCGACTTCATGCTACAAACCAGCAAAGCACATGTCAATCTTGGGAGAGGTGCACTTATAAAAAGCAGCCTCTCCTCTGTCTTTCCAGCACCTTGTCTCCCTGCAGGCACCACCATCAGGGCACCATCGTCCACTGGCCAATCCACTACTTTTCTTCCAAGCAAACTTCGTCTTATTCTCCCTTTAGCTCCTGCCAATCTCTCTCTCTCTCTCCTTCTCATACCCGTCTGTGCTGAAAGCCACAAATGCCATTGCCCAAAAGACCCCTCCATCCATTTTAGTTTGGAACCATGCAGAGAACACAGCACCCCACTTTTCCTGGGGGTGGACAAGTACCTCAAACATACCTCTTTCTGGTTGAGCAAGGACTTCCCACAGCTGCCATTTTTGGATCCTGCGTGGTTCCAAGCCAGAGGTAGTTGGTGACTAGCAAGAATGTCCTCCTAAGGAGCAGCTGATGACCTATCCAAAGTTAGATATGATGCTCCTGGCTCAGATTTCAGGGGACAATGCGGACACTATTGTGTGGTAGATTTTGAGGACCACCAGCAAACATTTGAAAACAAAGCCAAGTCATTGGTTGTCACAGCAATTTGTGCATTGAGAGGAGGACCAAATCACATTCTTTTCCCAATTCCCTTTACTCAGTTCAGGGAGGGAGGGACTCTAAAATATATCCCTAATGCACAAAGAAGGAAAATGCTGCTTTGTAAATACTTGTCTCCATAAAGATACCTGAAAAGAGAGAGACACCGTTGGCTGCAGTTTCTGGCTGGGGGCATGCAATTTAATTGCCTGAGTCACACTTTGGTTTGGAAGAGGGGTAAGATTTGTTAATTTTTTTCCCTTGTGAACCCTGAATCTTAAAAGGGATCCTTGGTGTGCTGGATTTTCCTCCAGAAATTGTCTAGAATCATTATTCACAGATTCCCCTTGGTTTATCTCAGGACCTGTTTGATGTTTGCCGGTATTAACTGGTGGGCCCAACTTCCCCTTGCAAAAAGTCCTTGACCTACCTCAGGAAAAGGGGGAGTTGACCTGCTTGCTGTAGGGTTGAGCCCTTATGCTGCCCTGCTTGACCTCGATATGCCACTTGGGAGATGGATAAAAGGGTCTTTGGTTGTTGTGGCGGAACATAGAATTGTGACAATGTTTATGCGCTTCAGCTTCACGATCCTGGTGTGCTTTTAAATGAACCAAGTCTTGATTATTCCCTCCTTCCACCCATTTTTGAACAAAGCAATTGAGATACAAAGTTTATTTTAAAACAAATACGGTTTTGTTTTGCAGATCCGACGTTGTGGTGTTGTGCTTCTCCATTGCTAATCCTAACTCCCTGAACCATGTGAAGACAATGTGGTGTCAAGAGATCAAGCACTTTTGTCCTCGCACTCCTGTGATTCTGGTGGGCTGCCAACTGGACCTTCGCTATGCTGATCTGGAAGCTGTCAATCGAGCCAGGAGGCCGTTGGCAAGGTAGAGCTGAATGCCGACAAAACTTTGTTCCCCCATGGGAAGGCAACGCTGGACCTTTGCAGAAAGGGCAACATCCTGGCTTCTAAGGAAGCATTTGAAATGGCCTCGCGTGTCCAGTTTCTTTCGTTTATAATACAATACATAAAGATAAAAACAAAACGAATAGCAAGCAAATTAACAATTCCATGCCTGAAGAAGGGGGTCTCTCAGGTGAGCAGGAAGTCTTCTCAGATGTTGAGGGCTTTGGGGCATCCACACGTGTGGTCTTCGTGGTGCATCCAGAGAGGGAAAGCATGAAGGCCAAAGGATCACAGGAAGCATCCCTTGATAGGTGGGGTCCACTGGTGCTGTTCAGTGAGTCTGACCAGAGTCTGACCTCTTTCTTTTTTCATTTTGTTTGCAGGCCTATCAAGAGGGGAGACATCCTGCCGCCAGAAAGAGGCAGGGAAGTTGCTAAAGAGCTTGGAATACCCTATTACGAAACCAGTGTCTTTGATCAGTTTGGCATCAAGGATGTTTTTGATAATGCAATCCGAGCAGCCCTGATTTCCAGGAGACATTTGCAGTTCTGGAAATCCCATTTGAAGAAAGTCCAGAAGCCTTTGCTCCAAGCTCCATTTCTACCTCCAAAGGCTCCTCCCCCTGTCATAAAGATCCCAGAGTGCCCCATCCTCAAGATTAATGACGTGGGATACTTGCTGGACAATCCCTTGTGTGCAGACGTGCTCTTTATTCTTCAGGAACAGACTCAGATGTTTGCTCACAAGATCTACTTAGCTACCTCTTCATCCAAGTTTTACGACCTTTTCTCGATGGAATGTGAAGAAACACCAGACTTGACTGAAAGCTTTTGTAGTGAAGGTAGCAATCCCCCGACCAGAACCTGTAGCCTTGAAGCAGTTGACCAGGGAGCGGAAGGAGCAGCTGCACCGTCTTCCGCTTCGACTGAGGGCCTCCAGGCAGAGTCTGAAGCAGGAGAAGTCGCCTGCCCAAAACAGGGTCCAACGCTCTGGGGCAAAGGTTTCATTAGCCTACATCAGGAGATGCAGATTAATCCTGTTTCAAAGAGGGTCTGTGCAGTGACGGTGGTCAAGATGGAGGCCTCCATCCAACCGGGACCTTTTAAAACCGTCCTGCAGTTTTTATACACCGGGCAGCTGGAGGAAAATGAAAGGGACCTCACCCGGGTAGCTCAGATTGCTGAGATCCTGGAAGTGTTTGACTTGCGAATGATGGTAGAAAACATTACCAACAAGGAAGCCTTCATGAACCAGGAAATTACAAAGGCTTTCCATGTCCGGAAGGCTAACAGAATAAAAGAATGCCTCTGTAAGGAGACATTTTCTGGTGAGTCTACATGGAAATATCCCTCTACCTTGCATTTGTTCCAATGCTAATAAGGACACCTGGGATGGTTGTGTTGCAAACCAAGATCCAATTGGGACACTCTGAAGGGTCCAGGAAGGGGAGCTTTGTGCCCACAGCCAAAAATTGTGCCCTACGACAGGTAATTCTGTATTCCTCGATGCTAACATAATACATCTTTATACAAAAAGGCAAATCTGCCCCTCTGCCTAATCATTTTTGAAACCTGGAGAGGGGGTTGCCCTCCGGTTGTAGAATGGGGGGAAGATGCAGATGCTTTTGAAAGAGAGATCCAAGGGTGGGGTCTCCTCTTCTGCTCAGAAGACAGCCTGACCCAGTTCGAGCCTTGGGAAAAAGTCAGAATTCCCAGGGAGATGGGCAGAAATAGGAGGCCTCTTCCTGCTTTCCTTCCTTGCTGGCCCTGTTGGCCCAGGAGGTGTGGGTGCCTTCGACAGTCAGCTCCCCAAGGCATCTTGGGGGAACTTTGCTCAGGGTACTGGTGAATGTTAACTCCTTTGGTGATAACTGGATGGGGTTTCTTTTCTTTTTCCTTTCCTTTTCCTTTCCTTTCCTTTCCTTTCCTTTCCTTTCCTTTCCTTTCCTT